TAATCGTTAACCACACAGTGCCCAACCATGAAGCGATACTGAGAAGAACCCTCAGATATAGCCTATCGCGTTCACAATTATAATTAGAGATAAAAATAATATAAATTAAATATTTTTTTCCAAATTTCTCGTTAAATAGGCTATTATTTTCGACCAATTTACTGTATTTGGTTTGTAACTTCCATACGTACGATGTTCTTTGGGCATTCAAAGAGTAGTATAAACAAACTAATTTCTTGGGTTGCATATGTTATATTTTAACCAAAAAGTAACCATTATAATTAATATAAATAAATATTTTGTTAGAAATAATTGGTTCTGTTCTCTGTGGTATACTTTCTATCAAGCCCATTAATTGATTCCTTGAAATCTTGTCTAGTACCAGGGTCCTCCAACACAGCTGAAACCATCATTTTAAAATTGCAAATCTGCTCTCATCACACTATATTAATTAATATTTCCCCCACAATAATCTGATAATAATAAATAAAGCAATATAAAGAGAATACTAATTTCTGAGATATTCCATTTCAAAGTTCAATTCTCTTCGGTGTAGCAATTGAGGCAGTTCTCTTTATTTCTGAGCCGGTACACAAGAAAAAATCTCCATTTTCTGCCAATTGTTTAATATTAGTTTTTTAAAGTACTCTTTAGAATTTTTAACTTTCATTAGTCAACAATTTCAAATTAAGTTGCCTCAGACCAGGACCGTGCTGTTAATGTCTTTTTAGTAGTATGAGAGTCAGCTCTTCTAATAAACTTTGGGCAGTCTGCTAATTTTTGATACTGATTGCCTATTTTGTAAAGCCAAATAATTTTGCCACGTTGACATTCAGTAACACATTTTTGGACCAAGGGATGTTAGAAGAGGTTGAGAATTTGTTCATAATCTGATGTTTATTTACAAATAACACGTAAATTACACACATGTTTTTTCAAACTAAAACAAATTTAAATGTGCAAGACTTTTGTCCAGGTACCTCCATGGAGACATAAGATGCAGAATCAATTCCTTCTGAATTGTATAGTTATTGTTACTGTTGCTGTTGTTGCAAATATTTCTGTAGTTTATCCTTAACTACTGGCTAGTTACGGGCGATATTTACATCTTTTAAGAATAAATTATTATTGTTGTTGACTGCGGTAGCGCAGTGGTCACTGGACGATAAAATTTGCATTGATCCCAGACTGTATAAGTGGATACTCATTGGCAGTGAATTTAAAAATTATCCTTTTTACCTTGTCTTCTAGTTGGCATGCGAACAGGCTTGCTTTAAGGTGTTCTCGTCTATATCTAACGACATTATACTTCGTTAATGGATGCCAGACCTTTTGCGACGTTTTTGCTCGCCAAATAGTACTGTACTTGAAACTTGCAAACGTGCCGATGTAATAATGTCACGCGAATTATCACGTGATATAACTGTCACATCAGAAGCGAAAAATATTTATGTATTAAATGCACCAAGTTTTTTGTTCTTCCTCCTCCTATTTCCTCAGTCACGTCTCAGGAAACGGAACATAAGATGACGACCGGAACGTAAGTTATACAGAAAGATTAATTAAAAGATGGATTTATTGGATAGCGTATGGATTAAAGTAGGAGACTTAGAAAAATAGAAGAGGGAATGGTAGGAGAGAATGGTAGTCGGTAATGCTAAAAGATAATTGAAAATTTGGATGGAGGCTGATTCAGAAAATGGTCAATAAAAAACGCAGCCTACTTGAATGCGAGACGAATGAAGTTAGCCAGAAAATACTGTGGTAATCTGTCATTGAATAAATCTGAATTCTATCTCAAATAGGACCGTTCCCACCAAAGAACAGATCCTAGTACCAGAAACCCTCCTAAAGAAGAGAAAGGCTCGCTCTGAACAAGAAGAGAAAGGACAGAAAGCACTTGCGGAGAAACGCAAGGTGTGTAGTTTGCATGCGCAGAGGAGATAATGTAGCAAGGAGTTTCATAATTTTTAGTGCCTTGTAGATACGAATCTGTTTATTCATGATGATACCCAAATGTCATAATTATCATGTTGAGAACCATAACTATTTATACCATCTTTCGGGTCTGATACTATAGAAACAGATAAAAGTTTTTGATAGTGGCGGGAAGATCAGTTAAATCCAATATCTCACACAGTAATTTCTCATCTCACCCATGTTGTAGGCGGTTAAAGACAAAAGAAAGGTAATTTTTAAGAGAGCGGAGAAATATGTCCGTGAATATCATTCGACCGAGAGGGAGAAGATTCGACTGAGAAGATTAGCCAAGGCTGCAGGAAATTTCTATGTTCCTGCTGAACCAAAGTTGGTCTTTGTTATTAGGATTAAAGGGTAGGTTATTATGAATTAATAGTGAGAATTACGACGAAACCCTTATCTTTTATTGATGTTCTGTAACGTTATCTCTTTTTCACTACCATTATACAAGCTCCAATTTCTCGAATTATTCTCTTTTCCTTATTACTATTATGACATTTTGCTCTAACAAAAATCTTCTTCTGTTACTACCAGTATCAACAAAATTCCTCCCAAACCACGAAAAATCCTCCAGTTACTTCGTCTTCTTCAGATCAACAATGGCGTTTTTGTACGCTTGACAAAAGCCACCAAGCAAATGCTGCAACTTGTCACTCCCTATATTGCATATGGTGAACCGAATTTGAAGTCAATTCGTGAGCTGATTTACAAAAGAGGATATGCTAAAGTGAATAGACAGAGGATTCCTATAACAGATAATGCAATCATTGAAAAAAGTTTGGGAAAATTCGGTCTTATCTGTGTTGAAGATTTGATCCACGAGATTTACACCGTTGGACCACATGTGAGTGTTTCTGAGTGTGATGCAAAATCTGAAAAGCCATGGACTTGGATGTGGCAGGTTTTGAGTTAGTGGACAATTTCCATAGATTGTGCCATTTCCATAGATTGTGCCATTTAAATACTGAAGGTATATTATATGTTACGATTACTAACCACCCGCGTACCATCTTGTAGTTCAAACAAGCAAATAATTTCCTCTGGCCTTTCAAGTTGTCAAACCCTAATGGTGGATGGTCAACTAGGAAATTCCGACACTTTGTTGAGGGTGGAGATTTCGGTGATCGTGAGACGAAAATCAATGAATTGATTCGTAGAATGAACTAAACCCGAACAATAAATTGACTTCTTTGAAAATATGGGAGCAGAAATTAAATACATTGATCAAACTGTGTAACATTTCGAGTAATATGATATAAGGGAGGAATGTCGCAAATGTCTTGTCGAGGATGATCATAAAACAAATCCTCAAATAAATCCACACGTTTAGTGTAAGCTTTATTTACAGCGAGTTAAATCTTCATTTAATCTCTAGTAAGTATTCAATAATCTAGTAATAAATCATTCAAAGTCTAGCAAGACTCAATGTCCAATTATATCCAACAAAGTAAATACATGGTAATTGAGCAACGTAACTTCCTACAATTAACACAGATGTTAATTGTATCCCTGCCCAATCAATTCAGAAGATACCTCCTTTACACACACAACTTTAAACATGAAGTGTAACCAAAAGTCAGTACATTTCTGTTGTGATTAATGTCTTTTTAAGTCAGCAATCATCTGTTATCGCATTAATCTTCCCTTGATCAGTTCATATCGTATTCGCTGTCGATAATACTGCATGTCTGACTGTTCGAAATCGAGATCTCCTCCGCGTGCGAGACACTCCACGAACTGACAAGTAAAAACACCGCAATCATATCCGTTCTCCTGTTTTGGCGCTGTCTCTACAACCCACGACCATTGCGATGTGTCTAACAGTGCACCAGTTTTGTCTTTGTATGTCAGCGCCAGATAGCACATTATTGCCTCGAATATTGGGGTTGCGTCTGTCCTTGGCATGCTGTCATAAATCTCTATAAGCCTGTCATGTAATCGGATGGCAGCCAAAAACCAGTGAGAAGCTTGATTTATCGGTATCATAATGAGATCCTGCTCAAAGACATCGATCTATGATAACATTTGATGTTAGTAATTGCTGTCTATGATTTATTACGAGACTCGGGCATACAACAGAATACATACTTTGGCTCTCCTTGCCCATCGTTTTACTCCATCGTAACCTTTCGTGACCAAAGTGGTGTAGAAAAACGTGTTAAATATGTGTACTTTTCGGCGGGTGCTCTTTGCACGACCAAGGATCATTTGGAGATAAGCATTTATGACCTAAAAGTTTAAATCCGTAATTAGATTTCTCAAATTCTATAGAATGTCGCTAGCTACATTTGAGATCAAATATAAATGTCATGTGCTTACTTCGTCATTTAACCACTGACCAGGTTTTAACGTATCAAAATCATGCAGCGTAATTTCGAGTTTGTCAATTCGCGCAATAATGCTGCCTTTCATTTCTGCAGACGATCGGGCAACAACAATCTACATAGTAAAAAAAAAACAGCATGTTGGCTTTATTATTACTTGACATATTACAATTATAAAGTCGTATAAATTGCTTGCCTCCTCCAATTGTTCTTTCGTCATTATTCGCAACGGGCGAGGCTGATCGCATAAAATTCACATGTTAATATTTTGATCATGATCGAATTTTAAGCGGAGTAAACATTACGATATATTTAACCAAAGTAATAAAGCCTACCTTTCTTGCTTTCTCCAGTTCTATTCTAAACTTCTCAGCATCTTCCTTTTCTTTCTTTTTTTCGAGTTCTTTTGCCCGCCGATAACTGTAATCAGTGATGTGAGTAACAGCTCCTAATATAATAAACAATAAGATTTACATACTTTTCATATTTTGCTGTCAGTTTCTCTCCAAATTTGTTTAATTTTGCAGCGTTAAGTGACAGATTATGTGTCGAATTCATTGAAGTGTTCTCCGTAAGAGGATTGGTCGTTAGTTTAGTTTGTGCTTTTCTCACAACCCCTTTCCGTATCTCAGGGCGGGAAATGCTAGTCGGCTGCCTGGCCGCTGCTGAGATTGAAATTATTGTCAGATTCGATTTGGTACCGAATCGGAATATAAAAACATTTGACGAACAGTTAAAATACCTCTTTGTAAGGTAGTCGCGACAGGCGGTTTCTGAAGGCCATTTAGCGAATCCACAGGAAACCTCCGTGTTTCCTCGTCCGTGAGCTTTCGAAATCGTGCAAAGGAGTTCTGTATATTTTGAGGAAATTGCATCAAGTAGTCGATCTCTATCAGATTTGTAGGGGAGAGTAGTCATTATAGAAGCATTAGTATGCTGGACTTCCTGATTTGATAAGGTTTCTTGCTTTTTCTTACCATCTTGGCGAACATCCCCTCCCTCTAACATTCGCTGCAAATAGTCTCGCGTCGCTATTATTTTCATAGCAAATTCATTTGTATGCTTCAGCATCCTATTGACAGAGGAGGCCCACAAGTCTTTTATTGCTGGAGCTGAAATAGGATGGTGGGAGAAAAAAAAGAGCATGGTTGGTATTATTGAAATACAAAACATTGACTTTCTGAAATTAATAGCTTACCCCAACTAGGTGGCGGCTTCTCGACTGTCTGCGGTCCTATATACGAGACAAAATAGAGTTCTGCGGTCAGTACGGATTTCGTTTAACTTCTAGTAAAAAATACAGTCATATTTGGTCTCGTACGGATTCCAATGGCTATAAAAAGTGGTTTAAAGCTCTTGACAACCCATTAACATAGTCTAGGTAATGGCTGTCGCATTATTCATATAGCTGGTATTATATACACCGATCTGTGCATTCAACTGTGCTAATGCTTACTCGTCTCTTCCGAAACTCGGCCAAACGTTCGCTCCAAGTCTTCCCGTGTAAACGTGCCCTCCATCCATGTTGAAGAGTTCCCCTTAGGTACAGTATGTGAGTATGAATCAAGATTCAACGAGCAAGTGCTGTGCATTGTGCTGGAGAATCTTCCTACTTCTCGAATTTCTTCCATTCTTGCCCTCTTCTGACGGTGATTATAGGGTAAATAAGTTCGAACTGGACTTCGACTTCTTCTTGTTTTTGTCGGCATTGCTCACATAGGGCTTTAGTAATTATTTCTCAAGTTAGAATAAAATCATCTACTTTCCTGTGCAGGGCAGGTTTAGTATTATCCCGTGATTTCCGTCACACCTTTGTGTGATGTTACATAATTTATTATTATCACGAAACCTTGAACGTGTAAACAAAATGTCTTTAATCAAACGACCAGACCAACCACAACGTAAAAGTATCTCGCGAGCGTTTAGAGCTTCGTCAGTTCCTTTAAATAACAATGTAACTCCGTTGGATATTTTAGAAGGGCAGTTGGCGGGGCTGGCAGACGCCTTTACAGGGTTACAGGCGAAATTTGAGAATTTGCAAGAGGTTCATGAGACTTTTCTAACATTTAACCAGTCGTTTTCGGCATTTTTATATGGAATAAAAATGAATGCGCATTGCGTTGAATTTCCAGAGGTATTACACTCTTTAGTTGGACGTTACGTGTGGAAATGTATATTTGTATCCATGATTCAGTTCTGCTTTGTTTTACCAACTTTGCACATAGGCACCGTCAGCAGAATCTTTCCAACATGTCGCACAAAAAACAGGTAACAATCCACTTTCTAGTCGTTTGCCGCTCTTTTTCTTTCTTTCTTCCTTTCTTCCTTTCTTTTGTTAAATTTATCTCTTTCTAGGTTGTGTTCCAATAACACCGCGTAAACTCTTCCTCCGTCCACCTCAAACTCCAAAACGCGAACCCGACCTTCAACCAAAACCGGAATTGGAACCAGAGCCGGAGCCGGAACCGGAGCCAAAAGTGACACCAGAAATAGAGTGCGACATATCTGATGAAGAAGCCTCGTCTCAGAAAGAAGAACAAAAGCCACCACAACCATCACAGAGTAAAGTTAAACCAAAATCTAAACAATTAATTCAACCGAGCAAATCCAGAGCTATGAACATTAAGGTAAAAAACTTAATGAATTGAATTGATATTAATAAGGCTGTTTGTCAGATGTTGGCTAGTTTTAGGGGGGAATGCTCAAACAAAGATACGCGATTTTTTATCTGTAGAAATTTATTACGAGGCTTATGAATGGGCTTCCGTTAAAGTATAGGGAACAACAGGTAATTATTCCATTTGATAGATAGTACTTAATCAAATGTCTTGGTCTTTGCAGACAATCTAATTGCTTCTCACTGTCACAAAGCCCCATCGTAATAACATGGAGCTCATGGTAAAGCTACTAGTTACTAACCCGGAAGGACTGTAAGTTTTGATTCTTGTCAAGTTGGTCCCTTTATTCACCTATCTTATATTATTCACGTTTTTTATCACGTTTGCTTTCTTGTCTAATTGAAGATATATGCAGGAATTTGTTCGACAGACTACGATGCCGCGTGTCCGCTGTAATGAATATCTTAACGCGTTAGTGCACGCGAAGGAAGTAGTAAAAATTAACAGAAAAGGACAATTGTTCAGATTGGACCCTGTGAAGTATCCCTTCGCCAAATAAATTCAGCCGATATCATTTTACACTACCAGCATCCAAATCTATTGTGCTCTCGCTTGGTCACATCGCTGATAAAAGAATAGTGTATTTCAATAAGAATAATATAATTTGATGCCGAAGGAAGACCTATAAATGCCTCTCGATCTGTAAGCATTATTGCTTAGTGCAAAGACTTCCGACGAACGAATTATTGCTCATAAGTGTTTCGACAGACGAGAGATTTCTCACAGCTTGAAACAGCGCGACACAGCAGATTGCTGTATGGATTTCGTAATAAAAGTGACTGGGATGTCAAATCAACTGTTGTCTACAGGTTAGATATCATAGACGAAAATGTCCCTAATACCTAAACAAACTATGTTAAGGTGATGATGTAAGAGAAACTATTATATGACAAGGGTGCAAAAAGTACTATTATGCTCTGAGACAATTTATTATTATAGGCTCGTTTACACCACGCCAGATCGTGACGGTAGAGAACAATTTGAACGCTGAAGAATATTGAGACGATTTATTCGTATCTCTTGCTTCAGGCTACTAATGAATTCGGCGAACCATAACCAGAATTAGAATGGCTGAACAAGCTTTGTATTAGAGATAGAATAGACGTGACACATCCAGATTAATGGTAGGTGTGTCTAATAAGAATGCCACAGTATTCTTCTCTGCACGCGAAAAGGGATTATACACACTACGTATAATATATATTTTTTCTTGCAAACGTAAAATGGTGGCATTGTTAAACGTATGTCTGCAAACTATTTCGTGAAATATTCAATTTTTAATATGATGACAATTTCGATGCCACTTTCTCAAGTAGAATAATAACAAAATTTTAGTTATGCGGTGCTTTCCACGAAAGTAATTACTTTTCTGACATAAACAATGTGCTTAACATAGTATTGCCTATTCGCTTAGCAGACTGTAATTATGTTATGCTAAACATATCAACATTTGTTATATTAATGATGACTTGGTTTTACTTGAAAGATAATACGGTTCTACCTCAGTTATATCAAAGTTCCTCGCGATATACGTACGTACCTCAGTTATATCCCAAGCTTTTTGGGGATATATCAGAGGTGGGATATAACTAAGGTATAGCGTTTCGATATTGGTTAATAAATTCTATCAGTGACGTTTCTGATTCATCTAAGCGCCGAATTATACTGCGCATGTATCCAATGTCATTTTCTGTTGCAAATTCTCTTTGTTTCTAAAAATTTCTTGGCGCTTCTCGTCCTACCTTTATGGATATACTTGCTTCTTCAGTCAGAAGAATTTCTTCGATGGGTAATTGTTTAACGCTAATAAGACTGACAATTGGGAATTTGATTTTTGAACTTGGAAATTGCTGTCTTTTATTTATTTTCTGACTTAATGTATGGCCTGATTTACGGCCTGATTTATGTCTCGACGTTGAATTAGTGACTTGATTTGTTGAATTTTGTGGCCTGATTTTCTACTGTACCGAGAATTGTGACTAACCAAATGAGGCAAATAATCGACATATCGATATTCTAACACAAAATATTCGTAATACAATGACACATATCAATATGGTTAATAAATTTGCTTAATATAATTAAGGGGATATAAACGAGGCTACGTTCATAATGGATTACTATAGGATTGGGGGATATAATTGAGGTAGAACTAACTGTATGCATATGCAGGGTAGGTTGTGGCACCATGCACTTGCAACCATCTATAGTATAATATTCGGAATCAATAATCCTTGTTAATTAGTGGCTTATATAAATTATAAACTACGATTTCATAAAGCTACGATATAGGGCTAATGTCTCTATCAGCACGAGTTTACAAGCAACTCAAATGCACTGAACTAGGATACAAAAACGTGAATCGCATTTACATCAATTGTCTCATTACTAGTACTTTTTTGATATTCGGACTGTGATGTCCACCGAATTCTGCTGTGGCGTTCTCTGGAAGCCGCATGTAAAAATAGCACTCCAATTATGTTGCAATATGTGTATATTTGTCCCAACAAACACCAGCTCGATTTGCTCGATTTGACTGGCTGTGGCTGGAAGTTCAACTTATGATATAAATACAAGCAAGTTTAGATGTTCATTGCATTAAATTATAAGTGCATTTGTCGTCTTTATTTCTATTCAATCTGTGAATTTGTTAAGTTTTTACGCTAGTATTGGCCCTCCGTCACTGTAAGCGAATATAATATTAATCTGCTTTGACATATTTCGCATTTCCCGAGATAAAATTCTACAAATTTCGTCCCATTGACAAATGTCATCTTTTACTCAGCTCACACACGGGCACTAATATATACCTCTCACAAGTGTTCTCTTTGCGTCAAAACTTTTAATTGGACAAGTAATCTAAATTGAAGATGGCAGAGGAGAATACCCAAGACATGGAACGACAATCTGACGAAAGCAATTCGACAACAAGTACTGGTCTTTTGGCTTGTCTAGTTGTCTTTGCTATTCTCGGAATAACCGGTTTTTGTTTTGACTTGTACGATTTCATTACTACTGTCAAAAATAACCAAGCAACCAAGGGCGAGAAAATATTAAATGGATTTCTAATTTCTGCTACGGTCTTCTCATTTTGTGGACTATGCGAACTGCTTCGTGAACATACCCTTCGCGCATTTTATCCAATCTTCGTTCAATCACTAGGTTCCATAATATTAGCAATATTAAATTTAACTGGAAAAAATCCCTTTAAAAAGTATTAAAGTACAATTTTATGTCGGAAGAAACTGGGTTGCTGAAATGTGCGTTGCCATACCGAAAGGGAGTATCGCGAGGAGCTTTTATTCACAACGAGATGCTCGCTAAAGCCCAGTTTAAGCTGTTGGGAATCATAATAAGGTGCACCTTATATGTCAGGGGAAATGGTTTTATATTACCATAAATATCATTTCAAAGTGTTTGTGCGTTTGTGTCTTATTAACCTGTTGTACGAGATGAAAACATACATGAGATTATTATGTGCGCCTAACCTTCTATTTTATAATAATGTTCGTTTGTCTGTCAAAATGACGCTCGTTCTTCAAATATTTACTGTGTGCTTTATTTTTGTGACTAATTCATTCATAAGCTCGCTAATAGAATTCCTCTTTTCACAATAGCCTTCAATTAAAGAAATATTACTTTTATATTAAAAGTGAGAACCAGTATTTGTTCGTAGTTATTTATCCGTAGCACAGTCCTTGTTTTCTTGGCGAAAACTACGGAACTTGCTCAATGTTGGGAAAGTACTTACAGTATAAAATAATAACTTACAAACTCGGATTGGAAGATTCTTCGACCGTTCGCTTTGTTTAAATTATAATTTCTAACATTCGCCAATGCTGGTCGAGAGCTTCACGAGCGTCTTCGACGACTACAACCACTCGTACAAGGTAATCCGTAGGTAGTCAAACTATATAAATACTCACTTTGAATTGCAGTGCAACGAGGCACAACCTAAATTGTTTGAAACAACCAAAATAAAAAGTGTAATGCATAGTAAACCACTTACATTCGTTTTCCAAAGAAACCACCATCAGTGAGAAAACAATTACTTTATGACGGCTAACTTGCTATCTCTTAGAAATTATTTATCAGCTGGTTCGCTTTTTATTTTTTGCTTTTGACGCAATTCTATTTCCTTTTGCAAATCTAATGGAGTATCAAAGCTTAACCGAATTGCTAGATGATCATCCTCTGACCTAGTAAGATCAAATACAACGAACTCACCCTTTCGTAGATAACTATTAATGACCATCGATGCATTTTTTATATCATCAGTATAACGGCCGGTTATCTTGGAAATGTCTTGAGGAGAGCTACCATATTTAAACATCCATATATTCTATTTTATTGTTGCCTAATATAATTATTGAAAAAAGAATAAAGTTAATTTTACCATACTTCCAATGTTCTGAGATAAAAGTGTTAAAGTATGTGGGGAAGTTGGAGTTATGGAGAGGTGATTGGCGTCACCAACCGGCTTCACCAAGAGGAGAAGGGTTGCACACACAAGGGCGTCACCAAATGGAAACGGTAGCTCATGGGTGTTGTAAACAACCAAATCCATACTCCCAAAGAAAAGACGTCACCAACCAGCTTCACCAAGAGGAGAAGGGTTGCACGCACGAGGGCGTCACCAAGTGGAAACGGTAGCTCGTGAATGTTGTAACAGCCGATTCCATGCTCCCAGCAAAGAATCATGAATAAAAAAATGAATATGGAGCCAAAGGAAGCAAGTATTTGCTGTTGTGGTGGTTACATCATTTGCTGGAAGAAGATAATAATCTCTATATTGTCATCGTTCTAGTTCTCACTTCCCCTTTTACCTAAAGGGAAGCGTACCATATATGTAATTTATCATATTGCCATTTTAATGGAATCATATTATTGATATATTGGATGGAAAGGCATTTACCTCCTTTACTATCTCCAATTTGTATTGCAACTTCAAGATTAAGACGGTTATCAGCACAATATGGACACCACGATCTTTTATACGAGTAAGAGGTGCTAACCAAACATGCCCTTCTTTGCATTTCCATTTTAAGGGACTTTTGGCATTGATATACTGAGTGAAAAACATTTTCCATTTACGTTTTTTAGCAGTTATTTGAGCATCGCTTAAAGATAATTTTTTCATTATAATAGATTGTTACTTTTAATATATAAGATATATTTTTAATATAAAATCACAGGCTGGATACGTGCAGATGAACATATATTTCAGTGGCAAATAGGATGTACTTATATTAATATTGTTGTATTAATAAATAACAGAAAAATAATTATTACCTCATCATCGTGAATCGCGCTCTACTCATTAGAAAGATCAATCACTTGATCCCAACCAAGTCTCAGTCTATGAGGATGTTCAGGAGGTACACTTAAATCGAAGACAATAAATTTCTGTTCACATAGATGTTTATAAACGAAGTATTCTGCTTAGCTCATCTGAAGTACAAGAGCCATTGAATAATACAACGTATTTTAAATTTTTTC